CAGCAGAATATTCTAATGACATAAGACAGATTCAGTCTCTCAAGACTAGATGATTGTTAGATGCTTGACCCAGATATCTCTGTCATAATAGCTTCTGTCCCCAGCATTGTCAGAGGACAGGGGTTTTTCATCCTATACATTGGAAGACTGTTGTAACAGACGCCAGTTACCTGGATTGGGATGGAGTTCTAGATCATGTGTTTAGGGTTGTTGGTTTCAAGAAGAATTGAAGCTTCCAATTAACATCCTAGAGTTATGAGCAATTTGTTGTTACTTAACTGGACTCTCTTCTCACCAGTCATTGGGTCTGAATTCAGTTGGATAATGCCACAGCTGCCACGTACATCAATCAGGAGGAGCACCAAGAATATTGCAGCAATGATAGCCGTACATTTTGTGCCCTACATGAAATTTAATTTTCTACTAATATCCAAGGTTCATATCCCTGGGCTGCAAAACTGGTGGGTAGGTTTATCCGTAGACAGCACCTGGATCCGGGGGAATGGATTCTTCATCAAGAAGTGTTCTGGGACATACATCTGCTCTGGGAAACACCAGAAGTGAATCTACTAGCTTTTAGTTAAACATAAAACTGGATAGATTTGTCTCTAGAACAAGAGACATGCCAGTGGATCAGTACGCCTCATTTTATGCCATTCCTCCACTGAAACTATTACCTCAACTTCTATGTAGGGTCGAAGCTGAGGACCTCCAATTATTCACACACTCCTAGCTCCTTACTGGTCTTGGAGAGTGTGGCACACAGACTTGAATCATCTGTTATCTGGTGCTCTATCTGCTCTCCACCAGATCAAATACATTCTGTATTTCATGAACTGACCTTTCACCCTGCTTCATGATCACTGGCTTTGACGGCTTGGCTTTTGAAGACCAGGTATCATGTACCTGGCGATGGAGGCCAATGGAGAGAGGGCTTCCCTTGAGGCTAAGTTCTGGCCTCCCCTGAGAGTGGGACAGCGGGAGTCAGGCCCAAAGTTGCACAGGTTGCCTGTAGGAGTGCTGGTTGGTGGTCCACTCAGAAGCACAGCTGGTGCATGGAGATATGTCTGCACACAGGAGGCGCCTATGCGTGGTATGCAAGCCCTTCCGGGATTTAGATGTTTACTGGGTAGTCGGTTCAAGCCAAGGTCAGTGTCAAGGTCCTACCTTTTCCCTGAGGTTATGTTACTCCATGTGCTGGCGTCCATCTTGGATTCTGCTGTGCATGATGGGAATCCTTTTATGCCTTCAGGTCTCTGTGGTCCATCCCCCAGAGGGGTGTGGCTGATGACATATAAGCCTGTGGCCCGCACATGCTCTTTGCACTTGTGTCTTGTGTCTTTGTGTTGCTATTACTCTGTTCTGACTCTCGTGACTCTCCTGGTATCTGATTCGGCTTGTGACTTGACTATTCTTTGTATTCTCCCTTGATCTGACCCTCTGTTGCTGAACCCGGCTCGTGACCTGTGATTCTCGTCTGCTGTCCTGTACTGTTTTGTCCTGTTGTTGTTGACCCGGCTTGTCTGACTACTCTTTTGTCTCTTCCACCAGCTACACGCCATTGGCGGCGGCCATTACTGCAGCTGAGGTGTCTCGGGGGCCGCGACCTGGTTCCTGGCTGCGTCAAGTCTATCCCCACCATCAGGGGCCCTGGTGAAGGGCAGCCTGGGACTTAGACTCCGCGCCCTGAGGGACTTCGGTCTGTGGGTAGTGGTTGTCGTCAGCCAGTGCGTTACATTGTTAGGCCTGCCTGTCCGTTCCTCAGCCCCTGCCCTGACATTCAGGTACCAGGTGGGAATCAGAGCAGATGTAGTCAGATGGGATAGCCGAGGTCATACACAGAGGAGCGAGAGAGAGTATCTGTAAGCCAAGCCGAGGTCAGATCAGGGGTAAAGCAGAGTAGACAGGTCCAGGAGCAAGCCGAGTCGGTATCAGGAAATCACAGGTCACAATCACAGGACAACAACGTCTGGCAGCAAACTGAGGCTGATGTGTGCTTCTGCGGCCATGCAGGGTACTGACAGAAATGCCAGATCTTCCAGAACTTCTGCTGTGGACAGGACTCTGACACCAGGTTCTGATAAACAGGGGCATTTTGTGTTCTCTAATCCAGACCATGTATAATGATTGTAAATATTCTTCCTGCAAGAGTTCTCATCAGCTTGGAACACTTATTTTCCCTGCTGTGAGTCTTTAGGGATTTTTCCCACATGCATTTCAGTGGCCTGTGTTCTTTCTTTCCTCCAAGTGAGTATAGAACAGTATTTTGTCTTTAGCACCATCAAACATTGAGCGTTTTATCTGTCCATTCTCTAACATTTTCTTGCTATTCATTGCTGATTCATCATTGTGTTAAAGGAACCAGAAAGGGAAGTAGCGGAGATTCTGTGTAAGATGTGGTTTCTACACTGTAACTTGGTATTGCTGGAGCATTGTGCGATCATTGCTGGCGACTGAGGCCAATAAGATTTATGACCTTAGCCTACTATGCAGGATGCTGCGTGATGGTGGGAGAAGATGAGAGAGACGGGGACCTGTTGGAGACTGTGGGGACCTCCGTATGAAAGCAAGGATGGAACACCAGACCTTGCTGAGGACAGTTACATGCTGGGTTGCTGTGAGCTGTGGAAGATCTAAGGTGCGATTGGAGATCTGAGGGTTACAGTGAAAACTAAGGAGCACCGTAAGAAAAAAGGGGCACCGTGAGAACCAAGGGCCACTAGAAAAGGCTGCAGAACACTGTGAGATCAGAAGGGCACTGTGAAAACTGAAGGGTAATATGTGAACCGAGGTAGTTCTAAGGGTAACTGTGAGCACTGATGGTGCTGTGAAAAGGCTGGTATAGAGTTTGAGGTTTTCTATACCAGCAGTTAATGACATGTATTGTAGGTTGACAGTTCCTAAATAAAATAAGAATAACATTAAAATAAATTTGAGTATCGCCATTAACTTAGTGATGGTCATGTCAAGTTTGAATAGAATATATTTGAATTCAAATAGATTATAAAAGAAAAGAATAGAAAATAATAAAGAATAAAATAGAAAAAAACTATAGAATAAAATAGAATATAGTTGTCTTCTGAAATTCAAATTGAAAAATGATTTAATTAGAATAGAATAAAATACAAAAGAATAGAATAAAATAGAAAAGTATAGAATAGAAAAAAAAACAATACAATAGAATATAACTGTATTATGAAATTCAAATTTCAAATAGAATAAACTTGAAAAGATTACAAAAGAATAGAATATAAGCGATTTTAAAAAATAGAATAAAATAGAAAATAGGAGAATAGAAAAAAAGTAGAATAGAATAAAATAGTATATAATAAATTGATAGAATAAAAAAAAATAGAATATACCCATCTTCCAAAATTAGAAATTCGAATAGAAACAATTTGAATATGTTATAAAAGAATAGAACAGAATAGAAAAGAATAGAAAATAATGAAAAAGAAAAAGCAATAGAATAAAATATAGTTATCTTTCAAATTCAAATTGAGAAAATGTAAATTCGTATAGCATAGATTAGAATAGAATACAAAAGAATAGAATAGGAAAGAACAGAATAAAATAGAAAAGTATAGAATAGAAAAAAAACAATGCAACAGAATATAACTGTATTACAAAATTTGAATTTTGAATAGAATAAAATCAAATTTGAATAGAATAGAAAATAATAGAATATAATTGTCTTTTGAATAGGTTAGAGAAACAATAGAATATAACCGTCTACTGAAATTAAAATTTTGAATAGAATAAATTGAAATTTGAATAGATTAGAAAAGAATAGAATAGAAAATAACTGAACTTAATAGAAAATAGGAGAATAGAAAAAACAGTAGAATAGAATAAAATAGAATATAAACTGTCTTCCAAAATTCAAATTTCAAATAGAATAAATTTGAATAGATTAGAAAAGAGTAGAACAGAAAAAAAATAGAAATAAGAGGAAAGAATAGAATCGAATAAAATAAAATATAACCATCTTCCGAAATTCAAATAGAATAAATAAGAATTTGAATGCCAATTTGAATTCTAATGTATTCTATTTGAATACATTCGAATTCGAATGCCAATTTGAATTCAAATTGCATTCGAATCGAATTAGAAAACAAAACAAATTCCGAAATAAAAAATAAATGAATTTAACAAAACTAAATTATTTAAATAATGAATTGAAACAAAACACATTTTTTTCATTCTGCACATGCCTACATGTTATGCTTTCTGTCTTTCTACAGTTAGCAGGAAAGGAAAGCAAGTTTCAGGATATCATTGACTGTTGATATATTGATTCCACACTTGCCTGAGACTTGCAAATTGATTTTTTTTCCCAAGAAGCAGCAACTCCATATCCACCTTTCAGATGATGCACACTTAAAGCTTGGGCCCATCACCCATAAGACTGCCCCTACGTTAACCACAATTAACTCAGGACACTAACAACTTTTACGCTTTGACATCCTGAGTTCCCCTATGTTCCCATTATCATTCCCAGAATACAATGGTTTCAAGTGCACAATCCCCAGGTGGATTGGACTCATTTACGGAAGCAAAACCAATCCTGTCCTATGCATTGTGTTACGTTTGATATAAAATATATATCAACAGAAACTGATTGAAGACTCTATGATGACTTAACACCAAGGAAGATTTCTCCTGCAACTATTTTAGAGCAAGCCTGGGGTGCACATTGCCTATGGAGATTGTGAAGCCTCAATAATCAGAGCTAAGTAACTGTTATTGTATACAGAACATAGTTTCGCTAGGAAGTAGATAGCATTTTGCTTGTTATAGGTATATCTGTCAGTCTTGTATTCAGTGGTGTATTTTGGTTTTGTGCTGCACAATGCAAAACTAAAATCAGGTGCTCCCCCAATCTAAATTTATCACACCTCTTCCTCTTTAAACGCCACCTCTTCCTATTAGAGCTCCACCTCAGGAGTTGGTCAGAGACTGCAGACATGATACAGGAGTTAGAGACTGTGGACAGGATACAGGAGTTGGTCAGAGACTGTGGACAGGATAGAGGAGATGGTAAGAGACTACGGACAGGATAGAGGAGATGGTAAGAGACTGCGGACAGGATAGAGGAGATGGTAAGAGACTGCGGACAGGATAGAGGAGATGGTAAGAGACTGCGGACAGGATAGAGGAGATGGTAAGAGACTGAGGACAGGATAGAGGAGATGGTCAGAGACTGCAGACATGATACAGGAGATGATCAGAGACTGTAGACAGGATACAGGTGATGGTCAGAGATTGCAGACAGGATACAGGAGATGGTAAGAGACTGCGGACATGACTTCCCAATAATGATCATTCATGGTCTTCATAGGGAATAGAAAGTCTCATGTAATGCCTTCCATTTGCTCACCTCTCTGTATAGTAGAAGATTTGATGGAAGTCACATATCACAGTGGAGTCCAAGGACAGCAGTACCCTGCCCTAAGGCTGGCAGCACTCCTGCATCCGCAACAGTCCTGGCTGTTGCTGTGATTCATAAAAGGCATCAAGCAGCACCATTACATCACTGTGGGCCCATCCAAGCCCAGACAAGACTGTCCCCTTGCCCGATACAGTCCTGGGGGGTGCAATTGCCCCCATTCCCCCTCCTGTAGCGATGCCACTGGCCCCTTCTGCCTGGGGGTGGCACCGCCCCCCTAAAAAATGCAGCCCAAGGCAAACCTATTACATAATTCACCCAAAACATACACAGTTCCAGTGGTTCCCTGAAGCCCAGGCAGCATTTGATAAACTGAAGACACACTAAATGTCAGCACCAGTTTTACAGCATCCTGATTTGGATTTTACCTTACATGCTTGAGGTTGACACTTAGGAAACCCCAAGAAGGGATATCTTGTCACATCACCAGGGTCCAAAGGCCTTACTGCATCCCATGGCCTTCTTCTTTTCTGAGTTAATCCGAAATAAAATTGATGTGGGTGACCGAGAGCTACTGGCAAATAGCGACACTCGAAGAATGGAGGTACTTGTTGGAAGGAGCAATGCACCCCGTCATACTTTTACTGATTTTTGCTGAAAACTGTAAAGCACCAAAGACCTTGTCAGGCTCACTGGGCCTTGTCCTTTCCAAGATTCTCTTTCCACATCACTTACCGACTGGGGTCCAAGAATGGGAAGGCGGATGCGTTATCCTGTATGTTTGAAGATACCCCTGAACCATCTTCTAACATCCTCCTGTCTTCCAGAATTTCTTGCTGTTTCAACCACATTTGATGGTTTCTATTCAACAAGCCTCTGCCCTTTGTCCACAATCTGCAGGAAACAGGATGGAATATGGTGGTGGAACAATAAAATCTTTGTTCCTCAGGAGATTCGGCCATGTGTATTTAGGAATTTTCATGTCCATCCATTGGCAGGCCAATTCAACGTTCCTTTTGGTGGCCAAGCCTTAACCAGAATTGTAGGAACTATGTATGATCCTGCACGAACTGCTTACTCAACAAGAACAGCCCATCTAAGACATGGGGCCTGCTCAGAACTTTACCCATTCCAATACATACATGAGAAAGAAGTGGTATGGCTACATGGGATTTCTAGCAGTATTGTATCCAAGGGGTGTATTGTATCGGGGGGTGCAATTCACCTCCAGATTCTGGAAATACCTCTGTATGGCTGTGAAAATCGAGGTTTGAATATCCTCTACATATCACCATCGCAGCAATGGTCGACCAACCAACCAAACCCTGGAACAATATCTCTGATGCATTGCATTCTTCTAGCAAACTGGGCCTTGTTGCTACCACTGTTAGAGTTTGCATATAATATCTCCTTTCACTCATCCACCAATCAATCTCCATTCTGAGCCAATTATGGGTTCCATGCTACCTTTGTGCCAAATGTCATTCCAGAAGCAGCAGTACTTGCAGTCCACACCCAACCTAAAACTTGCATGCCCCTCACAAAAGCTGGGTCCAAGGTTTAGCAGTCCTTTTGAAATAGAGAAATCAATCCCGTGGCTTAAGAGTTGGCAGTTCCTGATTGCTAAAAAATCCATTCAGTGTTCCAGTTTCACTGCTCAAGCCTGCTTTTCCTGACCCCTTTCCTGAAAGGCCTCCACCAAGCTACGTGACATAATTTTTTCTTTTTTTCTATTAACCTCCCTGGCGGTATTCCCTGCAGTGTCCCCTGTAATGTCCTCCGGTGGATGCCGGCATCTGTCTTCTGGGTTCCATCCCCTGCGACGTCGAGACATACGGGGGACGGAACGGCGGGAAATTTAAAAATGACAAAAAGTGACATTCACTAGATACACTAAAATCACATAGTATAACATTACTGTATCAAACCATTTCACATGAGGGGAGGAGCCTGAACATGGTGGTGCTGGAGGGCTCGATGTAGGAGCTTGCAGCTAAGCTCCTCCACTAACCTCCCCAGGGGACCCCCTAATGAAGACAACCTGCGGAGTGCTTACCGGAGAGCCGGGGGAGCTGGCGAGGGAGAGGAGACCCCGAGCTGTGAAGGGGTAAGAGTGGCCTGCCTGGAGTCCGGCGAGTGGGAGAGCCAGGTTGCTGGGAAACAGGAGAGCGGTGCGGTCACAGGCCCAGCCGCAAAGGAGTACTGGGAGCGCAGGAAGCCGGCTGGCGTGCATGTGAAGGAGGGAGGGCGGCTTTCCGCTCCCAGCTGCCTACTCTCCTGACTGCGCCCTGGCTAAGCTGAGGAACGAGAAGAAGATGGGGACGCTGGCTCTTTGGGGAAGACCCCTATGAAGGCAGAAGCAGCAGGACAAGCAGCCCTGAGGAATCCCCCACAAGGAAAAAATTATATAGAGGAGCTGGACACCTGAAACCCCCACCTGTCTGGCAGCAAGGGAAGAGGAATACAGGTGAGTGAAAATGACTGGAACTTTTATAAACATAATTGTCCCATTGTGCTGCTAAGGAGACTTGGGGGCAAGGGGGAGTGAAGGGGGATTCCTAGGGGCTTTAGAAATAGAAGAAGAGGAAAAAGAGGAAGAAAAGAAGATTAAGCAACTTAAATGAGGAGGAAAATCGGTCACTAATTGGGCTAAAAGTGGGGCCAGTGTAATCTCTGTGAACCATTTATTTACACAAAGAGAATATAGAGGAGAATAAGGCCCATAAAAGCAATGAAGAACAAAAGTAGTAAAGGAAGTGGGCCTAAAGGGTCCCAAACGGGAACAATTAAACAATATACATCTCAGGGAAAAGTGACCCCAGAAAGATCTAAAGGTAAAAACGGAAAAGGAGAATTGGATATCAGTCTGGAAAGTGGCCCTCGACCAGGCATGTCCAAAGTCCGGCCCGCGGGCCATTTACGGCCCGAGGGTCGGTTTAATACGGCCCTCCATGTCAGTGTGTCAGTGTGTCTTATGGAGCGAATATGGAGCGGCCGGTCCGGTATTTCCACCGCGGCCGTGTCAGAATACCGGACCGGCCGCTCAACTCTGCAGCGGGACCTTACCTGTTCCTCTATCCAGCGGCGCGCTGTCTTCCCGGCTTCTGTAGTGTGGGCGCTGGGCATGACATCCGGGTGCCAAGTGCGCATGCGCAAGAAGCGGTGCTTTTTGTGAATGGTAAGGCGGTACCTGGGACACATGACAGATCCCAGAAGCCGCCGGACCAATCACAAAGCGCAAGTGCTTCTCGCTCATGCGCACTGGGCACCCGGCTGTCATGCCGAGCGCCATTACAGAAGCCGGGAAGACAGCGCGCGGCTGGATCGAGGAACAGGTAAGATCAAAGAACAAGTGCGGAAGTAAGAGCGGGTACCTGTCAAATTCAGGTACCCGCTCCCCACCTCCCCAAAGGTCAGCAGTCATCTGTATCCCTGTCCGCAGTCTCTGGTCATCCCTGTGCTGTCCGCAGTCTCTGGTCATCCCTGTGCTGTCCGCAGTCTCTGGTCATCCCTGTGCTGTCCGCAGTCTCTGGTCATCCCTGTGCTGTCCGCAGTCTCTGGTCATCCCTGTGCTGTCCGCAGTCTCTGGTCATCTCCTGTACTGTGTCTGCAGTCCATTAGTTCAGAATTTTTTTTTTCCTGTTTTCTGCCTCTAAAACCTAGGTGTGTCTTATGGTCAGGTGCGTCTTATACAGCGAAAAATACGGTAACTTGGCATAAAATAATTTATTTGCATTTAATTGTAATGGTTCAAAGAATGTTTGGAAAAATGTTCGGCCCTCCACCATGTTCACTTCATCCAATCTGGCCCTCTTTGAAAAAAGTTTGGACACCCCTGCCCTAGACTATCGTTGGGACTAAATGTTAGTAGTCAACAAACAATAGGAGCCATGGAGATGAGAGAAAGTGAAAGAGAACTACAAGTACCAAATAAAAAAGAAATGGCAGAGATGTTTAAAGATTTAGAGAAGATAATAAAGCAAGAAATGGCAGCTATTTGAAATGACCTGGGGCAGGTGTTGATGAGAGTGGAAGAAATGGAGGAAAAAATTAAAAATCAGGCCCAAAACATCACGGAATTAGAAAAGAAAATAAAGAATATGGGGAAAAAGCAGAAAAAAATGACATATAAGATGGAGGTACAAGAAAATTGGGACAGGAGGAGTAATCTTAGGATAAAAGGAGTCCCAGAGAATGCAAAAGGGGAAATACTGCAAGAATTAGTAGGTAAAATTTTAAACTCCATAATGGACAGACCTGCCCTAGAGGTGATTGACTTGGAAGATATCGTGAGAATAGGAAAGCGCCAACAAGGCACAGGGAAGGAAAAACCAAGGGATATAATTGTTAAATTTAACAAATATGGAGATAAAGAAGCAATCTGGAGAAAAATCAAAGGAAAAGCATCAATTAAATATGGAGAAATGGATATCCAGATATATGCAGATCTTGCACCGGAGACTCTGTGGAGAAAGAGATCCCTGAAACCCCTATTAGAACAGATGAGGAAAAAGAATGTGTTTTATAGATGGGGGACCCCAGTGTGCCTAATTGGATGGAAAGATGGAGTTACAGCTTATTTGAGATTTCTGGAAGACCTAAGAGATTTTTTGTGAAAAACTTGAGTTGCAAAGAATGGAGATTGTGGGATGGGAGGAAGAGGAGAGAGAGATAGGAATAATGAGACAAGAGGACTGGCAGTCTGTCAGAAGGAGGAATTAGGAGGGGAGGGAGGGGGGGAGAGAGGGATGTTTTTCCCTCCCTTTTGTGTTTTTTTTTTTTTTTTTTTCTTCTTTCCTCTTCTCTCATGCCTCTCTCTCTTTCTTCTTCTTATGCCCTTTAATCTTCCTTATAGTACGAAAATTTGTTCTGTTTCAAGGGGCACCTGGAACGTTGGGGAGGAAATAAGAGGAAGATGGAGGGTACTGGGGAGGTTGGAGGGAGGAGGAGCCGTCCATGGGAGGAGCTTGACCCCTAGTATTAATTCAAAAGTGGGGAGTTAGACCCACAAATGATTAATAGGTATAACAATTGCCTAAAAATGGGAAGGGGGAGGGGAGGGGGGGTATTAATATTAGAGTTAACACTCTGCAGGATTTAAGGGAGTACTAAAGCAAGGGAAATAGAGGAAGAGGGTTGGTAGGCAAAAGGAGGGACAAAAGAAAGATGGATGAACTACAAGTTGTCACCTATAACGTAAAGGGGTTGAATTGTCCTGGGAACAGATTTAGGCTATTTTCTTGAAAGAGACACATTTTGAGATAGAATCATAGCTTAAGTTAAAATCTAGAGATTATCCAACATGGTATTATGCAGATTCCCCGATCAGGAGAGCAAAAGGGGTGGCAATAGGGTTCAAAAAAAATATAAGATTTGAGTTGGAGGATAGAAAAGTGGACCCAGAGGGGAGATATCTGTTTTTGAAGGGTAAAATGCAGGAGGTGGAGTGTACAGTAGCTAATATATATTGTCCAAATAAGAAGCCGGAGATGTATTTGAAAGGTGTGCTAAAAAAACTGATGGATTTTAAAAAGGGGTTGTTTGACACTGGCCGGGGATTTTAATTTCTGTATGGAGCGGCAAAAAGATACAACCTCTTCTGTGCAGCGTGAGGGGAGTAGATCTCTGAGATTATTAAAGAAGGTGATCCATGAGTTTCAATTGGTAGATACTTGGAGAGTTATGCATATGAAGGATAGAGACTATACATTCTTCTCAAATGCACATGAGACGTATTCAAGGTTGGATTACATATTGATAGAACATCGATTTATTGAGGCAATGGCTAAAGTAGATATAGGAGCAATGACTCTTTCAGATCACGCCCCTGTTCTATTGAGGATGGGATGGGGAAGGGGGAAAACAGATGGGATAGGATGGAGGTTGAATGAAGCACTTCTCCTGGATGAGGATACTGCCCAGAAGATTGGGAAAGAAATCGAGAGGTTTTTTAGAGAGAACAAGACAGAGGATGTGTCGACAGCTACAGAGTGGGAATCTCATAAGGCATATATAAGAGGTATCCTGATTGCTATTGGGGCAAGAAAGAAAAGAGAAAGGAGAGAAAATTAGTGGGCTCTTAAAAGATATATCGGACCTGGAAAAGTCACATAAAAAGAGCACAGTAAAAGAAATTAAGCAGAAGATAATAAAAAAGAAAGAGGAGCTAGAGACTTTGATGGAGGAGGAGAGAAGGAGAGTCTATAATAAAGTGCTAAGCGAGAAGTATAAATGGGGAGATAGGCCAGGAAAACATCTAATGAGAGCCTTAAGGAAAAAGAAAAATAGGAATTATATCGATAAAATAAAAAGCTCAGGGAGAACTGGTTCATTCAAATAAGGAGAATGCAAAGGAGTTTATTGATTATTACAGAAAGTTGTACAACATTAACCCATATGACACAATAAATAATAAGGAAACTGAAAATAGGAAAAAAAAAGAAAGATATACTTAAAAAATGCGAGTCTACCGAAACTAAAAGAAGAACAATTAAAATCCTTGAAAGCAGAAATTACACAAGAAGAAATAAAAGTAGCACTAAAAAGTATGGGGACAGGGAAAAGCCCAGGACCGGATGGCTATACGGTGAGGTATTATAAAAAATGTAGTGAATTATTAATACCCAAATTGGAGAAATATATGAATGCTCTGGGAAGAGAGATGGACATGAGGAGAGAATCCGTACAAGCTCATGTGGTATTGTTACATAAGGAAGTAAAAGACGCTTCACAGTGTTCTAGCTATAGGCCAATTTCATTGTTGAACTCAGACACCAAGTTATATGCAAAGGTCTTAGCGAATAGGTTGAAGGAGCATATGCCTGAATGGATACATGGGGACCAGGTGGGCTTTGTCCCAGGAAGGGAGGGTAGGGACAATGGGTTGAGATCCCTGATGCTTATACAGAAAAGTAGAAAAAAGGGAGGTACCGGCGTTGGTTCTCTCGATCGACACTGAAAAGGCCTTTGATAGAGTAGACTGGGGGTTCATGATGGATACCTTAGAAGCCCTGGGAATCGGAGCTAGAATGAGGGAATGGATTAGAAAGTTGTACAGGGAGCCCTCCGCAGTTATTATAGTAAATAGGGAAAAAACAGAGCCCATTGGGAAGTCAAATGAAACAAGACAAGGATGCCCTTTGTCCCCCTTGTTGTATGTTATGTCATTGGAGCCCTTGTTGTCTACGATAAGGAAGAATAGAGATATAAAGGGAATTCAGATAGGAGATATAGAGCATAAAGTGGCGGCTTTTGCGGATGATCTGCTATTTTATGTGGGGAATCCCAGGATAACACTCCCAAACTTAATGAAGTCGCTGAAGGAATATGGGGAATTATCAAACTTAAAAATCAATCCAACAAAAACTGAGATCCTAAATATAAATGTCCTAAAAAGTAAAAAAGAGAAAATACAAAGGGAATTTCCCTTTATCTGGAAAGAAAGAGATATACAATATTTAGGAGTAAGGCTCACTACGGCGTATATGAATTTGTAAAAACTAAACTATATTTCATTATTAAATGAAGTGAAGGAGGAATTAAAAACGTTAGAGGAATTCCATCATGGTTAGGTCAAAAATTATAATTGTACCGAAAATCTTATATAGATTTCAAATGATCCCAATTAAACTGCCAGAAGCTTTTTTCAAGGTAATAAAAAGAGTGATAACAAGATACATTTGGAGGAATAAAAAAACCGAGGGTGTCCTATGAAATATTAAGTAGAGACAAAGGGAAGGGTGGTCTGGGAGTTCCAGATATTAAGAGATATTACACAGCAGTAATACTAGGGACAATTTTTGACTGGACATTTAATGTGGAGGGGAAAAGTTGGGTAAAAATTGAAAATACACTTTGTGGAACTAATTTGAATAGAATTATATGGTTACCAGCACAATATAGAGGATTGAAAGAGGATTTAAGTTTATACACTGTGAATGTTTTAAGGGAATGGGATAAAGTACTCAAATATATGAAGTGGGAATTTACTTCTATTTTAATGCCACTAAGAAATACAGAATTTTTTCCCCCAGGTAGAGAGGAGATAACAGGTAGATGGTTTAAAAAGAAAGATGTCCAACTGAGAGATATTATGGGGGAGGGGAAATTGAAGTCTTTTAAAGATCTGGCAAAGGAAAAGGGAAAGATTTTCACTAAGTTAGATGAGTGGCGCTATCACCAATTAAAATGTTTTTGGGGAAATCTCCCAAAACCTCTGAGAATGAAA